ACCCATCAAGAATGACAGGGCTGAGGTGTAGTTAGTTAGTTTGTGTATATGGTACTAAATATGCTTTATATTAAAATTTAGGAGAAAAAGAGATAAAATTGTTGCAATGTAACCCGTGAGCATTAATAGAAATATCAAAATTTAAATTTGTGATAGGAATCATATTGGGTAAAATTAAAAATAGAGATGCATCAAAATTTTTGAATATTTTAATATGGGCTAGACATTGGTTTCAAAATTAGGCCTGATCAAAAAACCGGGGTGGTAATATGAGATAAATGAATTGGCTAAATATAATTTAAATCTTTTTAATATAACACAATAAGAACTAAATTATATAAATTAATCGAAAAATATGTTAATAGCAAATTCATAACATATATAAGAAAGATTATATTACAAGATTTAAGGTGGCTGAGTGGGAAGAACGTTTGCCTTTAAAACGTTAAGTCATAAGTTCGAATCCCGTGATGTACAAAAAATTTTCTTAAAATTTAACATTAGAGATATATAGTCTCCATTGATTTATTTAACATTAAGAAGACAGGAAAGTTGATAAAAAAAATAAAAATTAACATTAGGAAAGTTGATTGGAAAAATAAAAATTAACGTTAAGATTATACGAAAACGTTCATTTCTTGATTACGGTGATTACATATATAGATAATAATTATTATTTATCTAAGATGCATATTAATGATATTATAATAATAATGAATTAAACTTGTTTGAAAAATATAACTCATCCTCATCAAATCTCTCTTCCATCTAGACTGCTCCTTTGACAATTTTATAATAAGATAGTATACATTATTAAAATTTCTTTAAAATAAACACGGATGGTTTAAATTTTTTGATGTAATTATAGTAAAAGTATTTAAAATCTATCATTATAATATTATATCCGAAAGATGGCGTATATAGTTATTTAATTATTATTATGAAATAATTACAAGTTTAATAAATTTTGAAAGCTACTTATTAGATATTTTTTTGTAGCTATTAGAATTTATATTTTCATATCAAAAATCTCAAAATTTAGATACAATTAATATAATAATTAATTTATTGGCCAATTTAATTTTTTTTACTTTTAAACTATCTTCAAATTTAAAAAAAAATTGCTATAAATTTGTTTATTTGGTTGTATTATAAATATCAAAAAATTAACTTTCGTAACTTTAATGAAAAAAGAGAAATAAGCTATTTTAATAAAACAAATAAAAGCCTAAATCTTTTTTTTTTGAATTTACGAAAGCTTTTTATTTTTTTAAATTTCGAGAGATAAAAAAATTTCATAATTTATAACTTAAAGTTTATAAATTTGTGAAACTTTTATGAAAAAAAGTAAGCAACAACCAAACCCGAACCCGGTGAACAAAACCTAGGTTATTGTAAAAAAAATTTGAACCAGAACCGAACCTGAACCCCGTTTATAAAATTTTCAAAACCCCGAACCGAACCAGGGAATTTTATTTGAACCCGGGTTCAACCGGTTCAGTGTATTGTTTAAATTAATATAAGATATTGTATATACAAATATTAATAATTTACTTGATATTTTATAATATTATCATATTTCCATTTAAGTGAAGTGGTAATAAATTTTAAACTTTATACTCCATTTTTAAATTTTTTTAAATTTATTCTCAAAGATTCCTATTGGATTGTTAATAAATTTTAAACAATTAAATTTATTTACGCCATTTATTTTTAATACGTCTAAATAAAAATTTTTAAATCTATAAATGACTCTTTGTATTTTTAATTATATTTGCCTATAAATAAAATAGAAAATTATTTTTTATAACAAATTTATGTCTAGTTTTTTAATTATGATTTAAAATAGAATATTTTTTTCTTAAACCCGAGCTGAACCCGGAACCCCGGGTACAAATTTCCCTGAACCGAACCCGAACTCGAACCGAACCCGGGCAAAAATTTTGCCGGGTTCGCATCCCTGGTAAACAATATTAATTTTTATATTTCACATTATAATAAGAAATGGGCGGTTATATTAATCAAAATGGGAAATATAAAAATAATTTGGCATGAATTATGAAAATTAACAAAACTTGGACATGTTTCATAATTTTAAAAAGTTACGAAAATTTGAAATATAATAATTTAGGACAAAGCCTTAAATATAATAATATTAATAGCATAATTAATATTAAAAAATTACTAAATATTAATAATAATTATCAGATAAAATATAAAATATTTGATTGTAATTGATATTAAAGGAGGTGTTTGCTTTAAAATTGAACTGATTGATATTTAGATTCAATTGCAGATGTTCTTAGGCATAGAACGTATTAGGTTTTGACATTAATTTTCCAATTTTTTTCTTCATGAGATTTTCATTAGTTCCTGGATATTGCTTTTCCACCTCTCTTTTATTTTTACCCCAAATGTATGTAATCGGGAGCCGGTCAAAACTTATAGGTAGCTATTCCAAAGTCAATATGTTTGTATAATCACTCTTGATCAATTCGAATCTTAACATGTTCCTTTATGCTTGAATACAAAGTTTATATCAGGGGAAAAATTATTTACAATAATCAAGACTTCACCAAATAGATTGATTTTACTAATATTTAAGGTCCTATATACAAAGTTAAGGTCCTCGACCTTTATCTATTATATTGCCCGACATAATCACACTTTTTAGAAAATTTATAACATAATTAAAATTTAAAAATAAAATTAGTTTATTTTATGATAGAATGAATTATATGTAAATAAGTAAACCAGTAGAGATATATAAACAATTGAAATCTATTATCAATAAATTTTTATTATTGGAATGCCGATGTGATATAAATTTTAGTATGCTATTTCTCTCATTTTGGTATATTTTAGATGGCAAGCCTCTATATTACCATTACTATATTTGTTTATGTTGTCTCTGACAGTTGAACATCATATTTAAATTTCTCAGAAAAGAATTTCAGATACTAATCCCATCTGATATTGCTGTCCCGGAGACCATTAGAATTGTAATTCAAATTAAAAAAGGTTAAAAAAATTTAATCATATTTAAAAATATGAAGATAAAAAGGCAAACGATAACTAAACTTTTTGTGCGCGTTTTTTAAATTAAAAAATTTTGGTGGTAATGTATTCTACCATGTGTAGAAAACATACTCTGTGATTTTTAGAAAATTATTTAATGAAAATTTAAATTTAGTTTAATTAATATTATTTTCTCCATAATAAATTATAAATGACTCAAAAAGTTAAAGGCTATATTGATTGAAATATAATGGGTATTCTAGACATTAGAATACATTTTCGGCTAAATAAGATTTTTATATTTATAAAAAACTCAAAAAAAAATTAAAGTTGAAAAAATACAGAAAAAACACATTGACACGAATATACTAACAATATTATCTATCTTTAAAGAATGATAATATACAAATACATATTTTGCATTTGATAAAATTTAAGCATAAAATAAATATGGTTAGCCGAAAAGAAAGATTACATTTTTATTAAAATATAAAAAAGGATATATTTATTAGTGATGTGCAACGAACCAAAAATTTCAAGCTCGACCCGGTTCCTAACAAATTTTCTATATTTACCCCGAAAAACCCTATCTGAAACAAAGATAAAAATCATTCGTGGGCTCCCCGGCCCGACTTTATTTAAATACAGAAAAATTTAATTTATTTTAATTGAAAAAAATATTGGCGCCTTGTTTCTTGAAAGAATTTTAAAATTTACGTTTGACCCAGCCCTGCCCATTTTTTAAAAAATTAGATTTCACCATGCCCGAACCGGAATTATTTTTTAAAAAATAGGCTGGGCTGGGATTTACAGATCTCTAATATTTATTGAAAATTTAATATTGAACTCTATGATACTGGATATTATAATTTATGGTAAGATTAATAAAACACTGTTTGTTATTATACTAAAAAATATATTTTCAAAAAATAAGGGTAAAAAATACTGGAAAAATAACTTAGCCCATTATTTTCAAGCTTTATATTATATTATGCAAGGCTAGATATGATTTTGAAATTTTCCAGACATAACATACCATAAAATGACAAAAATTTAACATTGGTGTTAACATTTTATAAAATAATAATTTATATCTCACTCAATTAATCTCATGGGTAGCAAAATAACTTTAACAATATGCAATTATAATATTTTTTTGACTCTATGTAATAAAAAAATGATATAAAATTTGAAATGTGAAACGCTTAATAAAGCATGTAATAAATGACCATTTTCTTATAATAAAAAAAAATATAAAGAGATTTTAAAAGGGATATTTAGATGAGAAAAAATAAATTATGCTAAAATTTAATATTAATAATACAATTAATTCATTGAAAGATGAAATGAATTTATTTATATAATGTTGTATAAACTGTTTATCAAAGTTTATAAAATCGGAACTCAAAATTCATGGAAGTGAGACAAACAGGGAAGCCGAACCCATTTAATAAATTTTCAAACATCAATAAAAGTGTCTGCCACTAAGATATATGTATATTATTGTTTAAAATGTTCCGTGACTCATTTTTAGAAGACCTTGAAGCCGATGCCAGAAACCTCATGACCGCGTCAAATCTAAGAACCGGGATTAGAATATCTTTTAATAATTTTTAGGAACCTTAAACATATAATACATATTTTTTTAAAAAATAATCTAACTCCAAATTTCCAAACTCCGGTCAATGCCACAAATATATTCTTTTTATTTTAAATATAGTTATAATTCACTTATCTTAGTTTGATCATGAAATCTTGACCACCTAATCATTCGCAAAATCTATTTATTTGTGGGGGTGGAAATATTTTGAAAAGTTTTTTTGTTAGCTGGCTAAAAAAAAATTTCCAACCCGTAAAATAATATTTTACACATAGTCCAGTCCGGCTCATAAAGTCTCAGGGTACTAAAAATAAAATAATACAATTATTTAAAACAAGGCATTACAAAATAATGAAATTAGAAATAAAGACCTTTTTTTTACCTATCATTGATCCTCTTGTAATCATGTTGTTTGAATTGTGTTTTCTAAATTTACTCACGGAGGACGAATATTTGTTACCTCTATTCATAGAGAAAGTTTCGAGAGGATAATCTTGCCCATAGTCCATACCGCTTTCCAACTGAGCGCTTCTAACTAAAGATACAAATACTCCCATTTAAAAGGGGCGTGGGTACTTCTTGTTTTAATTTGAAATATATTTATTTTTTCTTTAAGTATATTGTAAATTTCTGCGATTATTTTTTTTTAATGAAAATGAATAATAGAAGAATATTTTATTAGATGACTCGAAAAAATAATAAAGATGTTGTTATTATATTATCACAAGAAAACATTTTTGAGATTTATAGAAAAAATGAAGATTGACCGAAAAAAAATATTAAATTATTAATTAAAAGGGAATAATTATTAGTCAATATTAAACATCTTTAATTTATTTCTTAAATAATCCTTTTTAGACAATACAAATTAAAATTTTTATGTAATAATTTTTATTAAAAATATTATATTAAAAGGATATTTTATTTTAACGATGAATAGGTTTCGGATATTCTTAATAAAAGTGTATTAATAAATTTTTTATATCTTATCTTTAATGTATAAATTATTCGAATGCATCTTAATATAATTTATTTTTTAATATAATTTTTTTTTTTAAACATTAACATTTTTAATATTATATTTTAATATAAAATGGATATTATAATATATTTTATATTGGATATCATATAAACCTAATAAATTTTTTTACCATTTATGCAATGTTTTATAAATGTTATGTCTAAATAATAAGGTTGATAGATTAATATATTATAAAGTCTTTGTTGATGTTTTATAATATAATTTTCTTCCATGATCTTTTAATTATTAATCAAAATAACTTAGTAACCTAGATATAACTTAATAGTGTAAAATATTTTTTCAAAACATAAGTACTCATTTTTCTATCTTTTTTTTTAATCAAAAGAAACAAAACTTGATTTGTTGAGAATTTCATTTTTGTTTGATTAATTAAATTTATAATTTTATTTCAACCACTTTTTTTCTTCTTCTGTTATTAAAAGGGGATAGGTTCTAAATCGCTAAAACAAAAATCGCTAAAAATTGGGATCATGGTTTATATCTCCTAGAAAATTTTTAAAGTAAATTTGAAATTAATATTAATAGATACTAGGGGACTAAACACTTGTATTTAAATTGAAAATTTAAAAAAAATAGCTAAAATGGAAGAAATACATCCAAAATCCCAGTTTTGAAAATCAAATTGGGAATTTGGTTGATATTTCTTCCATTTTAGCGATTTTTTGTAAATTTTCAATTTAAATACAAGTATTTAATCCCCTAGTATCTAAATATTAATTTAAAATTTACTTTAAAAATTTTCTAGGAGATATAAGCCATGTTCCCAATTTTTAGCGATTTTTGTTTTAGCGATTTAGAACGGGAACCCCTATATTATAACAGATATAATATTAGATACATTATGCCTCCCTAGAATATGCGGTAAGGGGATTATTATATTTTTTTTTAAATGGGAGTTGGAGAATAAAATTGACAAAAAATGGGCATAAAATTTTAGACGATCCCCCCCCCCCCCGAAAAATAACATGATAAAATTAATTATGCATCTATGACTCCTAATTCAAGCCTAGGATTTAAACTCTTATCTATGATATTTGCCATCGATGGCGTAAGATAGCAATTTGTAAAAAAAATTCAATAGACAAAACATATGAGAAAATACATATAGAAATTGACACTGTCATTCTACCTACCGAAAAGGGTTAAACTTTATTGGTGGCTTCTCACTGATTTTAAAAAGATTGAGTAATGCAGCAATACCCTATCTTAATCTTTAAATTCAACTATTTAAAAAAAGAAAATCAAATTATCATGAGGTGTAAGGGTACAGCTTTCTCATGAATAATAAAGGTTGCTTTAATTGAATATGTCGGATTCTTCTATGAGAATCGAGATCTTGGATTGCAGCTTGGCAATATTATTTATTTACAATCTTAATTTGCATTTTCTTAGAAACTAAGTTAAATATATGCCAATAAGAATGTTTGAATTGAAAAATACGGTCCAAATTCGCTGTTTATACGACATAAATTTTTAAATACCTCAAATCAATGAACAAACAATTTTAAGACATTATATTCTATAATTATGATCAAACATTTTATCCAAAATCTTTATTCGATGTTCAATATTCCCTAGAACTATTAGATACTTCAGTTATAAATAATTTCCCAAATCTCTAGATATTGGCAAACATATGCATACTGGGATTTAACATGCATAGACATTTCTGCCTCGTAGCAGTTAAGATAAATTAGCAATTGCCGAGAAAAAAAAATCCCAAAAATATTCACACTTATGGAAAATGGTATAAACATATAATCATATTAACCCTCTATTGCGCGACATATAAATAAATGATATGATTTTTTTTAAAAACTTATTTTTGTCTTTAAAGGGAGGGCCCTTGATAAATAAAAATAATTTTAAAAAAAAATATTTTTTAAACCGTAAAAAATATTTCAGTGAGTGTATTTAACTACACAATAGGTGTAAAAAGTATATCATATTTTTTCAATACCTATTACAAAATAAAGACATATAATTTTATTATTTGATAAATAATGTAATAAAACAAATTTATATTAATTTTCATGAAATATATTTTAAAACAATCATTTTTTATAGTAAAACATATTGATACACAATATTTGGTACAAATCACTTTCGTAACTTACACCCAAGGTTTTTGCATCGCGCCTTTTTTATTTTGGCCAATGTGCTAATCTTGTTTAATTTAATAAGACTTGTCGTCCCCTTGCTAGGTTTTTCTTTATATTTGATGTCAATTGATATTCGTTTTTTTACGCTAGCGTTATATTTTTGTTAGATTTACAGAGTATCTGCTATTGAAATTTTAAATGTTAATAATGGCATCTGTACTTTTACCGGTAATTTTAAAGTTACAAAATCTCGCCTATAATATAACCAAGATTTATGAGTATCATATCAAGTATATGGAATACTATACGGGGATACCATTTATGTGATCTTATATGAATTCGAAAGCAATCAATGAATCCATTAAATCTACACCTCCCATTGTAAACGATGCTGGAACGGAATTTAAATTTTTCGTCTTTCCTTTCCATCAAACCGTTCATAATCTCCAACAGGGTAACTACCTATATACGTACTTAGAATAATTACAAACCTATTATCATGCCATTTACTGTTGCCTTCTTCTTGATAAAAGATCCACGCTCCATCTTTTAGAATTCTTTTACAGTTGGAAACTGGCAATTATAAATTCTATTAGCTCTCGCTGTAGCAATATCCTTTTGGGCAAGTAATACTTGAAGTTCTATACCACAGAATCAATTATCAAAACACAATTTAAAATTGGAATGTAGTGGTACCAATAGTTGAAATGGCTCATTTCCGCTAGAATCAACATCTGCTGATCTTGAATCAAGAATTTTCTCATGAACCACTAAGGTTAGAATCAGAACTATCTTTTGGAATATAGTACATTTTGGATGTAGATAGCAAATAAAAAAACATTTATATAAAAAAAAATAATCAAATAAGCCCAAATCATATTGCATTTGTGCGCATTATGTATCTGGGTACTAGTACCTTAAAACTTAAATTTTAAACACTATTATTGAATATAACAATATGTTTATATATATCTTTTACCTTTATTTAATAGGATTCTTAACTTCCTGTTCCTTAAAAGTTTGTACAAGAGAAATGATATGATTTATAACATGGAAAAAACGCAACTATTCGAGAGTTGTATGTAAACTAAGTATTTTAGATTTTTTATATTGATAGCTCTCTTTCATTTTTGACAAAATTAACTATAAAAGTAAATAAAATATATGTGTATTAAACTGTATAAAATTTTATATTAAAATTTATACCTTTTTTTATGGTATGTGTATTCAAATATGATGTACGCAATAGATGGTTAAAAAGATAAGCTTTTAAATCATACGCTGTAATTCTAAATTATTTAAAAATTCCAGGCCATCATCTGAGTAGGAATTATTATTAAATTATTTAATTTCCCTTTTTGATGCTGATCTTACGTTCTTTAAAATTTAAAATTACATATAATGTAAACATCAAAAATATTCTATTATGTTATTCTTGAAAAAAAATTTACACCGAAGGAACACTTTATAATCATAAAATTTCTGGAAACCTTAAATAAAACTCTAAAATTATGAAAATATTTATAAACGGATTGCAATATATTAGTCAGAATGAGGGGTGTATGCCAACATATGGCAATTCACTAACCACCACCAAATTTTATTAAAAATGCAATATCACCATAATAAATATTTTAATCATAACCCCATAATAGTTGCCTTCAATCCTAGCCCTAAACTTTTAGGGTAGATTGATTAATAAAAACTTTTCCAAGCTGAGATCCAACGGTTGTTTTTCGGTAAGGTATCTAATTTCTATGCCAACCCGATAACTCTAAAACAGATAAAATAGTCTAAGGTAAGGCGTTATCTAATTACCACCCTCAACAGTCTAACACGATAATAGGAAGGATTCAATACTTAATCACCCTTTATACTAAAGAACTACTTTTAGTTTGATATTATATTTGGTTAGACTTCATCACTTCTACATTGGAGAATTATGGCAATGACCAGCTACGGTTTGATTATGAAATTGCACAAGATATTAAAGTGAGAAAACCCGCTATTGTATATTCTTTTAGAGAATATGTATCCTTGCCAAAGGGTTTACAACATACGCGTGTAAGTAAGAAATATTTTAAATCGTAAGCGAATTATTGTGACAACATTGTTTATTTCCAGGTCAAAGTTCTTGGATGGCTCAGAATTCCTGATTAGATCATGATTTAGAAAAGCAAACAAACAGGATGCTCAGATTACTAAGTTAAAAAAGGCAACTAAGGACTCGACAATTACCATAGTATCCCTTTTTTGGGGTGATATATGTAAGGATCTATTTTCATCGACCAACTATCTCCTCTCCCCAGATATATTAGGTTTCATCTGACACCAATTTAGAAAATGTGCAATCTCCTCTATTGTGATTTTGGTCCTGATGAGGAGGTTGGTGATGTTGAAAAAGTTTTTGAGAAGGAAGAAGGCCTAATAAGCTGGGAGAACAGAGACCGGTTATTCTATTGGGTCAAAACTATTAACAAAAGCCCTTCTGCGCCTCTTAAGCTATTGAAAATATTAACCTAAAAAATTGCCCTCTACCCCTAATTATTAACTCCCTCTCCCTACGCTCTCAAAATATTTATCCCACAATATTTTAATTGACGTTTTCACAATTCCCTACGTCATCATCAACTTATCTCATACTCCCTTCCTTTGGTAGAAGCACCTATATATGCATCATCAGAAAAGGCCAAAAATAGTGTATTTTCCAACAGGAGAGATATATGTGAGCCTATGTCGGTGGAACCAAATGGATTGCAAGAATAAATGTTAAGTTATGAAAACTCCTTTTTTCATTGTTAATTTGAGACCAATGTAGATCCCTCCATTCTGTAGAGTATAAGAATTTATTAATATTTCATAGAAAAAAAATACATAATAAACAATTATTTAACATAGAATTTTCAATCATACCCTTTATAAAATATGCCAGGTAATTTATAATACATTTATTGGCTTATTTAAAAATATCGATTTTAGTTACTACTAAAATATAAATTTCCATTCATAATTTCGAAATTTAAATATATATTTCAAAACTTGAATTTATAATTCCAATCTAGCTATTAATAAATATTCATAGCTCTGAAGTAACGTAATTAGTAAACGATGTTCCCGGGGATTATATATGATAAGTTTTAGATTTTTTTTATAATTTCAGCTGAGTTTTTAGATCAGAGACCCATCAAAGCTTTTATGTTCTTGAACAATTACAACCTAATTCTTTTTTCAAATTTTATCCAGAAGAGGGATTAAATTAATATTAAATTATAAGCTAAGGTATTAAAATAAAAATGAAACTTTTAAGCAATCTATTATGTTTATAGTAATCGAATACAACGCGTTATTTTTTCCCAAAATAAACAAATAACGCGTTACTCACATTGCCTTTGTTTTGCAAAATAACGAGAAAATATTTTAATATGGGGAACACGTATGATATTGATTTAACACTGGGATAAAAAGATAATATTCATATATAATTAAAATTAAAATCAAGAAATTTAATTTCCAATAAGAATTACAACTTCAATAGACTATTTTTTGGAAAAATAGATATCATTAATTTGATAGAAATCCCCTGAAAATTCTTCTTTCTTTTTTTTTGTCAAAGAATATTTACTAAAATTTTTTTTATTTTTATTTATATTATATATAATTTTTTAATTTTTTTTGTATAAAAACTTGAATACACTATTTAGCCTTAAGCGCTAGTGTTGAGCGATTAATCACAATTTTTAATATTCAATTAAATAACTGCATTACCCTCAAGCTCCAATGTTGAGCGATTGTTTAATAATGAAAAACTTGATGGTGACTCTAGACTTGAACTTGAAATAATATACATAATGGAATTTAATTTGGTAAAAAAAAAATAAAGGGTAAATTTCCACTTTAATTATTTTTTCGAATAGTGATGAAATTTTTAGGAAAATATCCGTATCGTGATTCTACTGTTTTTAAATGGCTCGATTTGAACTGATTCTTAAAAAAGGCTAACTGATTATTCTATCTAAAAAAATATTACGCAAGCCTAAATATTTTGCTTATAGATGGCACAAAGATTTGGACATCGATTAGCAAAATCTCGAAGCATAGATAATATTTTTCTGGGTAAAATATTCAATTAGATGTTTTAACAAATCAGCTCAAATCCAGCCGTTTAACAACTCTGCGTGATTCTTTTAAATGTAGATATTTTTAAACAACACTGAGACTATCTGTTATTTTATTGATTACACTTAATTAAACTGTTGTAATATAAACTAAATACCTAAAGATTTTCTTTTCGTCTTAAATATTCAATAACTTGTCAATATTTCTATTTTCATTGTGTAACAAAATCATATATAAACTCATATAATAATATTAAAATTTGTCCTCTGCCAGTTCCTGGCATTTTCTATTGTAACCGCGAAACAAGTGTTTGTTTATAGAATGGCTTTTTTCCCTGATATGGGTATTGTGATAAGTGTATATCATTCCAGTTATCATCAGGATTACCAAAAGTGTTGAAGCAATAATTACAGCCATGAAGTTATTAGGGGAAAAGCACCATGAACTTGAAACTGTTGTTGTGGGTACCTTAGCGAAATATATGCCATCTATTTATTTTATATCGTTATTTATTAATGTATTCGGTTGACAGACACAATAAAATGTTCTAAATAAAAGTAAGCCATTAAGGTTTGAAATTTTACGATAACATTGTATTTGTATATATTAAATAACCTTCGCTCAAAGTGTTTTTATCGCCTGGTATCATCACGGCAATCGAGCTGAATAGATTAACAGTCTTCCCCATATTTCCGCTACCATTTTTAGAATCAGAATCATTTTTAACCAAATATGTGGTGATTTGCCTCTTGAACAGTTTGCTCGTTACTTTCACTCCACCCTCTTTAACTTTATTATTAGCAAATGAACGTTCTTTCCTATCCTTTCTATCCCTGGAAACAACTAAAGGTAATCTTTCATGAAAACTATCGCGTGGTATATCGAATGGCCGTTTTCTGATTCTATCAATCTCCCGTCCTAACTCTTCTTCTTCGCGCGTTATCTTCTCCTTTTCACTTTCATCATCATCCGAATTACGGCTAGTTTCTCTTGGCATGTCCTCCATGTAATCCCCCTGAATGTCAGGGTGATGGTTTCCTATCCTGCTTTCGTTAGGAGACATTCTTTCCTCTTCTTCATTATCGTTGTCATCTCCTGCTGTGTATCTATCAATTGAACAAACTGGCTAAAAACCGGTTTTTTTTAAATTTACTTCAAATAAAAAAATTATGATATTCAGGGCTATGAGATAAAGTCATTTTGTGGTGCGAGGCGAAAATAAATTAGCTTTTTAAAAATTGCAATGCACCTTTAAATGCATAAGCAAAATTTGGCAGCCACCAAATTAGACTAATATTGGCAACCCAGATCGCTGCTCACCCTCTTCATTTTTACGGGCCTGATATTTGTGCTTATTATTCTACTTACTTCATTAACAATCTTAGCTTTAATCTACACATTAAATTATGAATAACTCTACAAATCTTTGGTTGAATATTATAGTTTTCCTATGTCCACATTTTTGAAAAATACATTTTTTTATCCAGATAAATTAATTCTTCATTTCACTATTCTCATATCAACGATAAAAATATAAAATGGGAATTGGAATAATCCTATATTTGCATTATTATTGTGTATCAACTATTAAAAAATGCAAGACAATTTTTTTTTTCTAATTCTTTCCTGAAAAATTATAATATGGAGATAGAACACTATAATACTCAGTTTATAAACGTGATAAATTAAAAGGGTGGAAAAGTAATTTTCTAATTACGTAAAATATTAATTTTCTTATTTAAAAGAATCTATTAAAAAAAAAACCTTGGGGCATTCTTTATAACATATTTGGACATAGCAATCAAAGTAAACATTTGGTACATCTGGAAATTTAAAGACATTGAAAGGAGCATACACATGTTTTTCAAACGTGTCATAGTCCTCCCGTTCAGACATTTTATCTAATACTCGTTCACTCCTGCTCTGAGCTCCTATCAAATTTTCATTTTCTGGGCAGCTACCGGTTTGGTTAATATATTTTTAAAGATATATATAATCAATTATGTTTTCGTATAAGCAAAATGTATAATAGTGAGCATATTTCAAACACCCTAAAACAGCAAAGCTTTTGGTTTAGTACAAACGTTAGAAACCTAAACTAGAAAGAGTTATTGGTTCAATTTTATTTTAAAAAAATGGGTCTGTTGGTTCCTTAAAAATTTTAAAAATAAAGTTGGGATAGCCCCAATTTTTATGTGGTTCTGAGAGACAGGTTTTATTTCTGGTTACAAACACTCTTTTAAAGGCAATATAAATTTTTTTAAATTATTTACACTCTTATTAAAACCGTTTTCCAGAAATGGACCCTTAAAATTTTTAAAATGTGTTCTGGTTCCTAAAAATTTTAAAAGAGGTTTACTAAATTTATCCCACTTTTTCAAGTGTTACGTTCTTAAGTTCTAAACTGGTATAAAAAAATCAATTTTACGTTCCTCTACTTCATAAAAATTAACAATTCTGACTTAATAAAATATTGATATGTTAATTGCGTTAACCCGTTTTCATCAATCAATCTAATTTTTTCGTTACCCATACCATCGTGAGCATAACAATCGAATAAGTATAAATCGAATAATCCTAAGAAGACAAAAATATTAATATTTATATTTAGCAATATCTAAATCTATAAATGTAAGCTAAACTTACAAATTCTTATCCCATTTAACCCCTAATTTTAATTATATAAAAAAGAACCATTAAACCAATGCATAAGCACAAAATTTTTTTTAAAAAATTTAGAGTAATAATAATAATATATGTTTTTATAAAAATTTAGATATCTTTTATAACGACCTTTTTTATCATAAACCATAACATCTAAAGTTCCATTTCCGCCTAGAATCAAATATTTAGCCGGGTTCCCAAAAGGGTTTTCTCCGTCCAAAACTCTTAACCAAGCATCTGGCACTATATTTGCTCTGGCTTTGATTTGTGTTGTTTCGAATTTCCTATTTTAAAAAAAAATAAGGTTAAATTCCTTTAATCTTTTTTAAAAGACGAAGAAATTAGGAGGGAGGCATCAGGTAGAATGGTTCACAATCAATTCGCTTTTTTAAATTAAACTCTAAGCTAACTCAGATTGATAAAAATCAATTTACCTTTTCTATCTTTAAAAGTTACATCGAGAACCCCACTGCTGCCTAGTTCAAACAAATTTTCTGGTTTGGAAAATGGATCTCTGCCAGGGATTATACTCATGCGTGTTTTAGGAATTATATCAGATCGGGTGGAAAAATTTGAATATGGTACACTTTTTTATTAAAACACAAATTAACGAATTATATACTTCTATTTGTTTATAAATAATTTTTAAAAACCATTTATTTAAAAATTGATAAAAAGTTCTACAAATTTTTTTATCAGTTCCAAAATAATATTTGATTTAAATATCAATAATTATATTATACAAATAACATTTGAACTAAATTCAATTAAAATAATATTTAGAATAGCATAAAAATATCTGCATGCCATATTTAATTATTAGATTTATGAAATAAATGTTTAATCAGTATATTATCTATAATATGTATATTATGGATAAAATTCTCCGAATAATTTTTTTAAACAAATTTCAAAAATTCCCCCTCCCCTCCTCCCACCTCCTTGGAAGAAAAAAATTGTGGATAATTTTTTTCAGGGAATTATTTTCCACCTTCTTATGTTTTATAGTATTTTATTCATTTAATATAATTTTTAATATAAGATTTTCATGTTTATCATTTAAATTGTTTTTTTTGCCATATTAATGTTTACATCAGATTCTGAACTTTAACATTTTTATCGGGTTCGGTGCGGCCAGGTTCAATTTTTTAAAATAATTAAATAGGCGGATCCAGGTAAACATAACTCGGCCGGTTTCGGTCTGGTTTAATCCGGGTAAATTATCCAAACTATAGATCTAAATATTTTGGGCCCAGATTCTTAATGAGTTATGGGAAAAACTAAACCCTGATAGACTTGGGTTTGACCCAGAACCGCGTATTATTAATTTATCTGAAAGACTGAAGATATATTATTGATATATAATATACAGAATAATTAAAATATACTTTTTAAATGAATCTATATACCGATACATTGCCTAAAAATAGATCTAGAGATACATCATCTAAAAGCATATTTAGATAAGATACCATTTTAAAAAGGTATCTGTAGATAGACAATTTTTATCATGTTTTTCTTGAAGAGTAACGCTTATTATGAGAGCACAAAATATGAAAACAATATTTTTATAGAACATCATATGAAAAAATAAATATAACTGTTAATAAATACCCCTATTCTTATCTCGAACAAATTCTTATTTAAAACGTGCAAAAAAAAAAATTACATTAAACTTATAATTTATTCATTAAAAGTTGGAGTAAAATCTATAAAATTATTTAAAAAATTCTAAATAAATTTATTTGCTTAAAATAATTTCGTATACACATCAATGGTATTGTTTTTAATGATTAATGCACATCATGGCTAAGCAAGGATTTATATATTCCTTTACATGATAAAAATATCAATCTTATATTGATATCTATGGATTTAAATGGAAAAAAATAATAATTAATGAATATTTATATATTTTTTTATATATAAGTTTTAATATTTTATATTTTTTTTAAATTATATTAATCTTAATTTTTTATAATATATATTTAAATCATATTCTATGCTTATATGAGATAAAAATTTTTCATTACAAATATTTTTATTTTTAAGATAAGAAAGCCTTAAATAAAAGTAAAAATGTATCTTTAAAAGTATCTAAAAACATATACAGACATAAGATAGAATCTAGATATAGATACTTTTATAAAAGTGTATCTAGATACAGATACCTATATGCGACATTTTAGTTTCGAGATACTTTAACAACTCTGATAATATATACATTTCACTATAGATTTTTTGAAATTTCTTATATTGATAGCCTTTATTCTACCCAACCAAAGAGATATGAGCAGCCAATGCACATTCTCAACTAAAGCTTGGAAAAACCTCTGGATTAATAAATCAGAATTCATTAAAATGTTGTAATTATCCACCATTACAGTAATTCTAAATAATTTAAATTTTATAGCCATCAAATTTGTTATAAGAGAGATGATTCTAAACTTTAGCTTAAGTCATTTAGAAAATAGAGGGGGGGGGGCGGGTAAGGAAAAATTATGTAGATTAAGTAAAAATTGTATCATCTTTATCTCTTTATATAATCATAACTCCATAATGAGTTGAATGTCTAACTTAACTTTATTTCCAGTTCAGAATATAATTTTAATTTTAGATTTAGATTTGCTTATTATTATTTTTTAATCGAAGAAATTTTTAAACTTCTTAATTATTGCCATTTCAAGTTAACTAAAGCACTTTGAATATACATATTATAGCTTTAATTCATCGATCAATATTTCTCATTTAGAATTTTTATTCTTGTATACTATCTTCGAATTTGGGATTTTTTTTTTATTTGTTCGAAATATCAATTGAATTGCTAGTAATATTTGTCGAAGAATGCCTATATATTTTTTAAATATGAAATAAAAATTATTACGTGACATCTAGTCCCCCATTGACTCTTTTAACCCCTGTCGTATCTATTTCGCAAGTCACGTGAAATGCTTTATCTTTTCCCTCTAATACACCATTTTTGGATGAAAACATTATGATAACGGTGTTATGAAAAGACAGCACACCATTTTCCAGTTGTTTAATCTATATAAAAATTATTTGAAATATTATCATTAATTAATTTATAGAATTAATTACATAATATATACGTTACATTAATGGAATTGCTTATATTGTCATTAAACAAATTTAATTTAATTTATAAGTTCATGACAAAATTGACTATTAATAGGATAGGTATTCTACACAAATCTGGAATACAATTCTGGATAATCAGACATTCAAATTAAGAAAACACGTTCAAAAAATGATTGTGCTATATAAACTTTATTTGGTATCTTTTTTACATTTGAAAATCTGATTTTACCGGAATCGATTTACATTTAAATATTATTATTTATAGGGTTAAATATAATATATACTTCATTTTCCTGAACAGTTCCGCATCCGTCTAATGGTAATCTTATTGAAACCTGATTCTCGTGATTGCCATTGACCCTACAAAATTCGCTTTTATAATAACCCTTGGAATAAACGACGCCCTTAAAGGGTTTCAAAAAAGTCAATAAAATAGCCATGCTTTCGTCGTAGATATCGCATTGAACCTTGATATCTTATATTTAATCAATGCAAAATAAAGTTAAATTAGTTTTCTACAATTAAAATCTGATGCTTAGTGCATGACACTCCTAAATAGCTAAATTATTTTATATGGCAGTCATAGATCAATGAGGGAGGGTGTAAGTCTCATTGACTTAGGGAATGGGTCCAGATCCTGATTAAATTTAAGGGTTATGTTACTGATTAAACTGATATTTAAATATAAAATTACCTGTTACATTTTACCCAAAAATATTTTCATTGCAAATTTTTTTTCAAAATAACAAAAATAACCAATGGAAAATTTTATTTTGGGCACGAAAAGTGGCAAAAAAGTGAATAAAGTTCCAAGTTGAAATTCTCAATAGGAGTTTAATTTTTCAAGTCATTAATTCGCTCATATTTATTTTATTGATTATAATTATATTTCTTAGGGTAGGTTAGGGTTCGGATCGGGCTCGAGTCGCGAAATGAACACTTTACAGGGCTCTAGTTATGATGCCTTTTAAAGTTTTATTTATTCTATTTTTTCTACAAATTTATAATTTTATACAAATAAATATTATAAATTATTAGTTACTGTACAGTAACATATATAAAATATTTTGAGGAAAAAGACAGCCATTCGTTACTTGTTTCGAAATTTATTTTTTTGAGTACCGGTAGCGCAATACGTTACTCGTTACTTAAAATTTCTACTTAAAAAATATGGAAAAAATATAATTTATTTTATTATATATTTTTTTAAATTTAATAAATAATTTAAACCGAGTTTTTAATTCATATCAACCACCAAAGTTCTTTATTTAAATTTTATTTATTACATTTTTGTTATTGAAAATCATACAGAGTTTGTAAATGTAATAAATATTGAATCAATAAAAGTATGTTAATTTATATTTTCTAATATTATCATTTATTTTATAAAGAACATATGCCAATAATACTTATTTCCTCGGATGATGATAATTTATCCCTACCCTGGCCCCAGTATAAAACATTTACACCAATAAAGAAAATTAAGAACACTAACTCTAATTCAAATATTTTACCTGCGATATATAGTAACAACCCAAAAAAAGGCATATGAAAATAAAAATATAAATTCAGATTAAATTCTGATATAAAGAAATTTGATGAGGATCGGAATGAAGATTCTTGTGAATAAGAATTTATTTTTGAAAATAAATTTTTTAAATATTTTTAATAAATTCCTCCAATTAAAATTTTTTTATTTATTAGATATAATACAACCCTGCCATTATCTGCGCCAATTGAACATGTGTTTAGCAAAGCGAAAGCCGTGTTGAGCACTAAGCTCTCTTGTTTATCTGATCAAAATTTTGAAAATCGCTTGTTATTAAAAATAAATAATAAATATTGCAAAAAAGATCTTATCTATAAATATATTATTTTTTTATAAGTTTATTTATATTTTTATGTGGAAAAAAATTTTTTTTTTAATTTATATAATTTTTAGTATTCTTTAAGTAACGAGTAACGCGTTACTATTTTGTATTGAATAACGAGTTCCTTTTTTACAAAATAAATAGTAATTTTGAAATAGCGTTTGCACTATAAATTATTCATTTCTAGGGTTATTTTTTATTATTCTTCTAACTCAATTCTTTTTTTTTGGTCAACTATTATAGATGGAATATAATAATATAACAAAAAATATACCTGCAATTTTATTAGGTATTTTAGAATTCGATCTTAGTGTTTTTTTGGGTAAAATAGGAATTTTAAAGGTTTTGAATCTGGCAGCCAATGTTTGATCATCTACGTTGTTCGATATATCTAAAGATTTTATTTCAATTTATATATGAAATAAGGGCTTATTGGGATATAAAATCTACATCAGAATCTCTAAAAAATAAAATATCATTAAAATTTGATCTGTTTTGACAAGAAATAATTTTAAAATGAGTAAAGTACCCTCAACGTGAATTTTAATTTTACCCTAAACCTTTAAATTATTTCTAAATTATTTTAATCTGTATTATTTAAATTTTAAAAAAGACACTAAAATCATGACAAAAATTGTGTGTATATACTCTGTCTATGATGAAACATATTTCTGGTCAATTCCGTTTTTTCAAATTTAAAATAGGCTTTCAGTAAATTATTTAGGAATGAGAGATTTCGAATCTTCATTGATTCTACATCTCACCACGACATATTATATATTTTATCTAATTAATAATATATTATTCATATTCGAGAATATATAAGCATCCTCAAAATTTATTAATAAAAAAATGCTATTTATTTTTCATAGCCAGTAAGTTTACTTTTTTTTAAAAAAAATTTTATTTACCATTAAGCCCATCATCTTCACCGCTTTGATAATCTTTTTTGATCATTTGCCAATCTTTATGATCCTGATTCACCTTCCTAGTGTTATGCCTATCATTCCATCTCATAACCTTTTTACGCCTCCTGTTTCTTCGTTCTTTGTTCATCCTATCCCGCATTTTTCTTTCCTTCATTACATCAATATTCCGGGTGTGCCCATTTTCTTGAGCCCATGGGTCTGCCTTATTTTTCCAATGTTCTTCTTCTTCATTCACGGAATGGCTTGGAGAATATTCCGATGGAAACATTGGATTAAATTGATAGTTGGTACCATCATTTTGTGGAGGCGGAGCTTATTGTTAAATTAAAACGAATATACTTCAGCATATTAAATAGTTTTATCATTTTGATGGCATCTTTTAAGAATTTAACAGTATAAAAATTTAGTGGCTTTTAAATTACTTTTTTTAAAACACAGAGTTTTATCAATTTATGAAATGTGTAAGTCATAAAAATTGCAATGTTATGATAAAAAAAACTATCAATAATATCTAAAAAATATAGATTTAACGGTAGCCAATAGAGAGAAGAACACTTTAGGCATTATATTTCCTTTTTTGACTACGTCTATTTTCCATAAAAATTTAAAAACCTCGAAATCCAACAGGTCTTTGATTAGAATTGTAAAGGGAAGGCACGTATTGAGGGCCCATAATTTGACTTTTGGGAGGCATCATATTATACCTTTGATTAGGGGGAGGTGGATATCTTTCACCATGATTTACAAAAGGTGGTACTCCATTTTGCTCCTCAAAGTAAAAGGGGGGCATAATTTTTTTAACATAAGTGTTTGGATTTGTATTGGAAACAGCGTTTTCATTAGCCCTATAATATGATGGGTAAGGCGGTCTACCTGCATGTCTATCTTGCATGTTCCTCTCGCGATTTCTTTCAGTAAAGAAAGAAGGATTTCTGTAGGGATTACGAGGGTCTGATCTTCTATCCTGTTCACTATTTCTGTAACTGGGTCGCCTTCTCATATTTTTTTCGTATCCTATTATTATTTATTTATTTATATTCAATTCTTTTAATAAATTGTTATGGGTTTTATATTAAATTAAAATAACTAGGAATGTGAAGACCTTAACCGGAACCCTCCTGTTTTTATTGAACCAGAACCCAAAACCGAACCCTTTTAAAAGTTGAGGGTTCAAGGTATTAAAATATAATAATAATTAAGTTTTAATTTTTCACCCATCACAAAAGGATACAATTTTTTAATATTAATGATGTATTTAATAAATTTAGACTTTGAAACAGATGTTCATTGGTTCCTAATAACTAACCTTAATAAAATTTTATATTATAAACCATAATGTCAAAATAATATATAATATATATTTATTTAAATTTTAATACGAAAATCTATTTAGAAAATTAAAGTAAAATTCTAAACTATAATTAAACAAGATAATGAATATATAATACCTGAATCAAGCTGAAAATCTTCGTCTCTGTCCGGGGGAGGATGACTCCTTTGTCTATATTGAGGTGGTGGAGGTTCTTGTCGATTTTTTTGGTTCAAAGAATCCAGATATGGTTTAATGTGCGGTGGAATGAAGGCCCCGGACTCAGAAGCATGAGGTCCACCAGCGTTTCCCATGCTGCGCATTGGATTATTTGGATTGAAACCATTTTGAATTGCACTTGACATAAATCCTCCTGGGGGTCCCATTGGAATTAAGGCGTTGGCATTGTTTTGCGAAATGGTAGGATTACTTATGTGGTTTGGTGAATTTATGGGGTTCATAGGGGCTGGAGGTGGTGGAGGGGGTGGTGGAGGGGGTGATGGTGGTGGTGATGAAGGTGGGGACTCTGAAGGTTGAAGTAGTTCTGTCTTTTTTTTAATCTCATTTTCTTTGTCTTTTTGTTTTTGCTTTTCATTTTCTTTTTCTAAAACTTGAAATATTGGAGAATCGCGACTAAAAAACCCTCCCTTACTTAGTAGTGATGTAGGGATGGGATTATTTAGGTCCAAGGATCCTATAAATCCAGGACCGGCATCGCTATTTGATCTTTTATGCATATTATCTTTTATATCTTGAGACTCTTTATCATTTTCAACTTTATCAGTTATCAAATTGTTAGTAAGGTAGTTATAATTATCACTATCTGAATACCTATTTTTACGGACGAAGTTATTATTAATTTCATCATTATCAATGTCATTAAAAGGTGACTCTGATGAATGCCGTCTAGGAAGCCCTTCTTCATAATTATCGTATTTTGTGTTCTTGTCATGTTCGGCGTCATTTATAAATAATGCTGCTAAAACCTTTTCACCTAATCCTGAACGATAATGACTGTCCTTTGTAGCAAAATCATCTATCGTCAATAGTTTATCGGTATTATTATTATGGACCATATTACCTAATTCATAATTTTCCTCAAAATCGTTTTGATTTAGATCTTGTGGAGATATCACCACATTAATTTCATTGGATAGTGTGTTATCTGCACCCAGCTCTATGATCTAATAAATTGTTAAACATTCAACATTTAAAAAACTCGATTATACTTCTATTTTAAACTAGCAAACTCAAAAATAATCAGATTGAAAATCTTTGCTGACCCAATCTCTTTAAACCTAGCCATTTTCTGTTACCAGTTTTAGCCGATCCTAACTATAAATAACCTTAAAAATTATAATTAAATTAAATAAGCAGGTTTAATTCTGTCCATTTTTCTAAATGAGAACATAATATTTTTCTATTAATTTATCCTTTACCAATTAAGATAATAGTTTCTAAACTTAAATTTTAAATTTTTGATATTATAGGATTCTGGTCTTAAAGACAAGAAAAAAAATAAGATCTGTGATATACTAGCTAATTTTTTTTGTTCTTAATTCAAAATAGCATTCTATTGAGAAAAATGGTTTGAACTATTATTGGGTGATTCTAAAGATTTTCTTATATTTCTAATAATTAAGAGCAAATTGTTAGAGCAAATTGTTAGTATAGTTATTTTTTATTCTGAAAATAGAATTATATTCAATTCTTATTAAAAAAAGAAAAAGCTGGACTTCAGCCTTTCAACTATTTCTGTAAATATATAATACATTAAAAAGGCATCATTATTTTTTTATTAAAAAATGAATACTTATATTACCTGTGTTGAAGAAGACCAAATAATGGCTATTATATATTTTAATAATATCATCATCAGAAAATCAAATTTGATTTATAAAAAAATATTTTTTTTATAATAGCTGTTTTAATAATATAATTTTATTAATTTCATATTTGATTTTTTTTTTTAAGTTGATAGTATTTAATTTTAAATCAGAATACGGATTATGAAAATGTTGAATTAAACTTTAAAAAATTACATATTTTTTTTTAATTTATAAAAACAAGTGAAAAATATGATCCACAGTAAAAAAAAAATGATAGAATATAAAACACTAATTAATTTTTTAGAAAAATTTTAAAAAATGATAAAATATTATAATTATAATAGTAAATAACTAAATATTTTTATTTTCAAACAAATTCAAAAGTTTAGACTTCTTTTTTTTAAACGGGAAATTATAACATTTTTTTTAAAAAAATTTGTAAGAATTGAATTTTTTTTTTTTTGATTTGCAAAATCAGAGTGTCAAACAATCCTACCTTTTATTTTATTTTTTCCCATTGAATCATCATTTTTTTGTAAAATGTTTATAATTGCCAAGCAAAAAAAACATTCAAAATTAGCTTTGTATTATATATTTTAAAAAATTTATATTCTATTTTTATATAGTTTTTATATGATAGCGGTGAAAGAAATTTGTAAGAAATTATATTTTTGTGGTGACAAAATTTATTTACTCTCAACCACTCTCCCCATATTTATTAAGTCAAAAATTTTCCTCAATCAATGGCTTTGCAAACTCCTCCCCCACTCGACCTTAAATTGATTGGAAAAATTTGACGAGTCACTTGAACTCCTTTAACGAAAACCTACTTCGCCAAAAATATCTTCCCTTTTTTTTATTTTATATAATAATAATCAAAGACCTGCATACGTACCATTTGCACGACTCGGCCTGGGTTTTATATTTTCAGGCCCGGCCCACATTTTTTTTAAATGTATTATATTTATTTTTTTAATTTTTATAGATAATAATTAATAAAAAATAAAATACGGCCCGGCCCATGTACCCCAGGTTCTGATAATAATAAAATAAATCGGATTGAACCTAAAAGAAAAAGGGGAGGAGGCGAGTTAGGAGTAAATTTTGCATCTTCTTAGCAGGTCCGTTTTGCTACCATCTTTAGGAACGAATTTATTTTTTGTTTCTTACCAAATCAAAATATATAAGAAATATGCGAGGCCAAAGGTACGATAATGGCCTTTATTGGTCTTGTAATAAAATCCGCTGAACCGAAATGCCACTTGCGCCGACTAGCCCTGGTCTCCCTTAATGGCTCATTCATAAATATTAGTTTTTATTTTCTTAATTCTAGTTAACAATATTATTAGGAGAGACTGGGGAGCATGCGAGTCCTAAAAGGCAAATAATTTTGTACATTCTTTGAATTGATTATTTTATCTCGAGTTCAATCAATTATTTTATATTAATATGTTTTGCGGCTTTTCGATTAACTTTTTACTTTTTAACTTTATGTATTATTTTTTTAGCTGATATTTTGCATTGAAATTATATTTATACTACTTAGAGTTGATCCAATTAATATTCTTCTTATCTTGGTGTTGAGCTAATCTCATACCTTTGCACAAAATTTTTTTTAAAAAAAAATTATACTTTTTTAACAGTATTAAATTTTCCAAAAAATAATTTTGGGGAAGAATGAGCTATCTAGATAATTGTGTATGCTCTTTCTTGACTTGTGGAATTTAAATTCTTTCTATTCCATTAATCTTGATTTATATCTTTTTACTTTAACCTTAGTTTGTTTTCGCCATAAAGGAGCAAGGATAAATTTTCATTAAATATATTAATGAATTCATCATTTGTTAGTTGTTTATTTTCTCTAATACACATTTCTTACCATATTTAAATATCAATAAGCAAAAATAAATTATAAAAATAACGCTCAAAAGCTCATATAAACCTCTGAACCGAACCCTCAATATCTTTAAAATTTAATTTTATGGTAGTTCAAACATATTTTTTGTTCAAATAAAGAGTAATTTTATGTGGAATTGAATTTAATCTTTTACATAAGATAGTTTATTTTTTAATTTTGATAAATTATAGCATTTTAAAAAGTCACTTTTGAAGGTATAGACCATATATTGTGCTAAAAAAATTTTTATAAATGTCCGATATTTAAAAAAGTTATAGCCGCATATGCATAATAGAGTTATACATTTTTGGAATAACCATTAGAGTTGTGTAGTTCTCTAAAAGAAACCCCAAGGCTAAAAACCTCGGACTCATAAGATCCCCGCTCTCCCTTATCGATTATTTAGTATTATTATGAGAAGCAAACTGGAATTAAGATTATAAGAAGAAAAAAAATTTAATCAGATTTGATATAATTTAATTGTTTTATTATAAAATTAATAATGTATAAAAATTTAAAATTTACATGGATAATATTTTTATAAGTCATGTTGAGTTAAGATTCGTCATTCAATTTTATATTAATATTAATAATAATATTTTAGAAAATGTCTTAATTAATATTAAATAGTGTAAAAATTCGTTTAAAATATAATAAAGTGGAAATAAAGCTATATATATTTTAAGAATGATTCTCGCATTTTGTTTTTTAATATAAGATCATTTTAAATTCGGTTTATAAAAAAGCAAAGTTTTTATACTTTAAATTAAATATTAAATTAAATGGGTTTGGAAAAAAAACCAAATAATATTTATATTAAGTTTAATGCCCTAAATCAAAAAAAATTATAGTTTAGTAAATAAATGATAACGTTAATAAACGAAAGTAATATGCATTTGCAATAATAATATCTTTTTATATAATGAAAGTCATGAACAATGAAGCTGAGTATTCATAATTATGCATACATTAATTTGGAAATGAAAAGTAATTCATGAATCAACATTGGGTATTTATATCATTTTCAATAACTAAAATGATTTTATAATGACAATTATAATAATTGGATCTTATAAGAAAATTTGAAATGCAAGAATTTGATTTGAGTCATATTATTTTTATAAATCATTAAATTATTATGTAAAAATCAGGAAATTTTATAATAGTATACTATTAACCCATAACTATAAGACAGAAATAAACTTACCAGCAGGGTCAAATGTATAAGTTCTCTTATCAAAATATAATATTTATAATCAATGATAATAAATTTTTACCATATTTGTGTCAGCGGCGTCACTAGTCTTTATAATCTCAGGGTGCTCAAATTTTTTAAAATTTTTTAGGAGACTCGATGCGATTGGTGTGAAATAATTTTTTTACAATTAAGATATAATGTTTATTATTCTGTTTTTCATGGCAGGACATACTTAACAGTGAGCTCTCTTAGATATATTTTTTGATTCTTAGAGGCAAGTCGTGTCCCAATAAAAAATTTTGGTTCATTTTTATTATAAAATAATTTCTTCTATTTTCGTTTATCTGCAAATATATTCAAATATTGGTAACAGAAAAAAAAACAGAAATGAGGACGATTAAGAAATATGTTCTCGAAACCTATAATTTCATACCTACACGTTTTCCCACCTTTTTAAGGCAGATTTTGAACACCAATTTTCGCATCTATTTTTGAATACAAGGATTTAGATTTAATATGGTCTCGTTAATTTATTTAATAAAGACTAGAGATAATGGTAAACTTATCAAATAATTTTTAAATAAAGATACATTGAGATCTGTAATTTAGACCAAAAATGATTTTTAATAAAAAATTTCTCACGAAAATTTTTAAATGAAAATTTAAATTTTAACGACTTAAATTAAACTTTTAAGAGTTTTACATATTTATTTTTATAATAATTTTTTTTATATAATTCTTAATGATAAAATAGTATATTGACAATATTTATGCTAATTTAATCCTGAAATTAACTTAATTAAATGTGAAGAACTGGGGTATGTTTTAGGTGTGTAATAGCCTTCAGGAATTTATTTTTTTATTTAAAAAATACTTTATTTATAGAAACGTAGCTGCTAATTTAGCAAAGGTTATGAATGACAATGAAGATGGCTAACTTGTTTTTGGTAAATTACATGACAATTTTAAATGACAGGTTCTTGTCAAGTTATCAGATGGGTGAATCATTTTAATTTATTTAGGATTAAAATAATTCTATTTAAAAAAATCAATACAATCTTTAAAATAAGCTAAACTACCAGAAAAGGTTAAAAAGTGCCCCAAGTGTTTTTATTAATTATTAATTTTAAGATATATTTTCTTTAAATATTAATTTCAACCATAGAGATTGTAAAGAATAAAACTACATTTAAATTATTTTGTTTGCTTCATCTATATTTTATAATTCGATTTTTAAAGTCGGAAAATATGACTTCGATCCAAAATCTGGGACGTTTTTTTTCGACTCCGACTTAAAATGGCCTTTATTTTTTACCTTAGTAAAAGCTGAAAAAACGATCTCAACTCAAATATGTGTCGTTTTTTGCAAAGTCTTTCTAGGGTCAAATACAAAGTCGAAAGTTGGGTCCTTTTTATGGACTTGACCCAAAATAAGGTCATTTTCTAATTCGACCTAAAGTTGAAATCGTTTATTTTTACCCAAATTAAAGTTAATTAATTTTATATAGTATAAAATTTATATATTAAAAATATCTAAATTACATATTAATGAATTTTACAAAATGTAATGATCTTATATATATATATATATACAAATAATGAAGGATAAAATAATATAACTTAAATACGAATAATAAGAATTAAATAAGTTATAATATAAATTGTTGCTAGAAATATGTTACCGTAATTAGAATATGGAAACCAAATTGAATAGTTTACGTGATACGTGATATTAAGCTCATAGCCCTACGCATCATATATATAACAGAGTTATAATACAACAGAGCAACGCTTGATTCCCACATGAAAAGCCCATCAGTGGATAAAAGATGGTAATCATTAAATAATTAAAGGACCATACACGTTTTTTGGACAGGCCGCAGTTACCTGTGCCGCAGGGCAAGAGGCAAAGCCACTTACTTAAATCCTCATGAGAAATAAAAGGAGAGTTAAAAAGCCCATGCCCGATTAAATAAAAATTTGATTATAGAAGAGTTATGTGCTATGTTAATTTACTTTTATTTAGCATAGTGAGAAATCCAGGGATGCGAACCCGGCAAAATTTATACCCGGGTTCTTTTCAGGTTCGGTTCAGGTATAGTATATTTATGCATATTATTATTTAAAAGGAGTTTGAAATAAAGTGGAATTTACCAAACTGTGTGGGTCTATTGATGGAAAACACTGCTGAATTAAAAAACCACCCCATTTTTTTTCTGTTGTTTACAAGAAATTGATTTTTTATATTCGCTTAAAGATTCAATTTATTTATAATTTATAAAAATAGAAAAACATATATATATAGCTGATAATATTATATTAAATCACTTTACAACTTTACAATAAATTAATCAAATCATTTCATTTGGCGACGACGATTTATTTTTCAAGTCATTTTTGACGACGACGAATTATTTAAAATAAAAAGTTTAAAATTATACCATGCCTCTGAAGAAGATTGAAGAACATTCTCAATTTCATAATCCAGAATTTGTCAAAGAAAAAGTAAATATTCAGGATTACCTATATAATATAGAACTCATTTTCACAAGGTAAAAAATATATTCAATGAAAATAAAAAAAAGGATCTTTTATTGGCCTATATAGGCACCGAAAATTTAATTAAAATTAAAATTTTTTATTTTCCAAATATTTTAAATAATATAAATTATTTAACTTTAATCGAGAATCTAGAAAAAATTTTTAAGGATGTCTTTAACATTTTTCTTTATAGGAATAATTTTTTTACATTAAAAAAAAATAACGAAAGTATAATTGACTTTTCAATTAAATTAAAAAGCATTTGCGCTTTATGTAATTTTAAATCGCCGGTTGATGAACTCTTAAGGGATATTTTCATCTTAGGAGTAGGGTTACCCGAGCTGGACAAAGAACTTCGGTTAAAATATGCCGAAGGAAATATTACTTTTGAAGATACTGTGCGTCTAGCTATCGCGCTGTCTTCATTGGAGAAGGAAACCCTGACAGAAGTTAATAAAATAATTAAACATAAGCCTATGCAAGTTTCCAAAAATACTTATTCTAGGAATAATTATAACAACGTAAACAAATTCAATAATAATAATTATAATGCTAACAAATTCAACAATCATTTTTATAAAGTTTTAAACCTAATTTCAGTCAAAAAAAAGTAATATGCTTTAGATGCGGAAAAGCAAACCACACAGCGAAAGGTAGAACGCATGCTATACAAATGATTTTACCACGGACGCCTCGCCTGTCTTTTGTTAATAAAGCTACAATCGATGCGAAGATAAATGGACTGCAGCTTACTATGGAATTCGATACTGGGGCGGCGTGTAGTGTGATAGACGAGGTTACCTGGAGTCGCATAGGCTAACCAACATTATCACCTGCTTATAAACTAATAGGATATAACCATATAAACTAATAGGATATAACCATATCAAAATCGAAGTATTGGGTAAATGTTTAGTGAAAGTCGAAGTAAAAAATATTTCAAAATTTTTACCTATTTGGGTAGTTAAGGGTGAGAATTCCCTCATTTTTGGAATGGCTTTTCTTAAAGAATTTGATATAAAACTTCCCGAAGAAGTTCGTATTAACAATATAAATATGAAAGATTCCAGTTTAAATACAATTGTTTCAAAATTTCCGCAAGTTTTTAAAAAAAAATTAGGACAAATAAAATTACAGGAAGCCGTCATAAAGATACAACCAAATACAGTGCCAATTGCGTTACCATCTAGAAGAATTCCATTTCCGTTGCGTCGAACCGTTGAAGCTGAGTTGGACAGACTTTTAAATGAAGGCGTTATCGAGAAGGTAGATCCAACAAAGACTCCAATTACTTGGGCTACGCCAATGGTTAATATTTTAAAGAAATCCGGTGCCGTGCGGATATGCGGAGATTTTCGTTTAACAATCAACAAATATTTAGCGATGGATAACGATTTACTACCAACTTTCGTTGACTGACAAATAGGATCGATGGGTGGTAAAATATTTTCAACGATAGATTTAAGAGATGCATTTTTACAATTCGGAGTTAGTCCAGAATGTAAAGACCTTTTAGTAATTTCGACTCATGTCAGTTATTATCGATATCAAAGAATTCCTTTTGGGTTGACTAGCGCTCCGATAATATTTCAACGTTTTATGCAAAACCTATTATAGGGAATTCCTAAGGTTAGTGTATTTTTAGACGATGTAATTATTGCAGGCGAGAATAATTTTGATCATATAGTTAATCTAGAAGAAGTATTAAGAAGATTTGATAAGGCTGGATTGACAACTACGACCGATAAAATTAAAATTGGAGAAAGGTCAGTTACTTATTTAGGTCATGTTCGGAATTCACCCGACCGAAGATAAGATTAATGCTATAAAAAGTTGTAAAACACCATCTAATGTTAAAGAATTACGTTCGTTTTTGGGAATGGTAAATTATCAAGAATCGTTTATTAAAAATTTACATTCTATTTGTGCGCCTTTACACCAAATAACGAGTAAAAATGTGAGTTGGTTTTGGTCAGCTAAAGAAGATGAAATATTTAATGTAGTTAAAAAAATATTATCAAAAGAAGATACAATAATTCCTTATTCAGCCGATATTCCTGTCGTAATTTCTTGTGACGCTTCCGAAGATGGTCTAGGAGCTGTTAATGCACACCGATTTATTACTGGCCAGGAGAAACCGATTGCTTACGCATCGAGGACACTTTCAGCAGCTGAAAAGAATTACGCCACTATTGATCGGGAAGCTTCGGCGATCATGTTCGCTATCGAGAAGTTTCTTCAGTACATTTATGGAAGACATTTTATTTTGGTTACTGATCATAAACCTTTAAAATATATCTTAGGTGATAAAAGAAACCTTAATAAGATAACAAATAACCGTTTAATACGGTGGGCCACGAAGCTTTTAAATTATGACTGTGAGATAATTCATAGGCCGGGTAATCAAAACAAATGCGCCGACGATCTGTCCCGTTTGGGAGTAGAGAGAGAAAAAAGGAATGAAGTTAAAAAAAAATTTGAAAATGAAATTAGAGAAGTAAGGATCAATTTAATTGATGATTTATCGTTCACTCGAAGTAAAGTTATTTGTGAAATGATCAATGATATAAATCTAAAAGAGATTGTTAAATTAATAAAAAATCATTGGCATATGGATAATATGAATAATTATTCGGAAAGTTTAAAAAAATTTATCTTAATTAAAGATAATATTTCTTTCGAAAAAGGGCTTTTATTTTATAATGATAGAATCATCATTCCTGATAACCTAAAAAAGGAGGTTTTGAATGTTATCCATCGAGGACATCCGGGGACAGTGGGGATGAAATCCTTATACCGATACTATGTCTTCTGGACAAATCTTGACCGAGATGTTGAAGAATTCGTAAAAAACTGCAAAAGTTGTCAGGAAGGAAGACCGGGATCCAGAGATGTACCATTATACAATTGGAATATTCCTACCCGACCTTGGGAAAGAATACACATTGATTTGACAGGCCCCGTGTCTGGAAAGTACTGTTTAATTTGCGTAGACGCTTTCACCAAATGGGTTGAAGTTGCAATTTTAACACATATTAATTCGACGAGTGTAATAAATAATCTGCGTAGTTATTTCGCTAGATTTGGTTTACCTCGTTACATTGTCTCAGATAACGGTACTCAATTTACTGGATCAGAATTCAAAACGTTTCTTTTTAAAAATAATATAAAACATTTTAGATCGGTCCCTTATAGCCCCAAGTCGAATGGTTTGGCTGAGCGCTATATACGTACGATAAAGACGCGTTTCTATGCTGGAAGGAGAAATGGAACTCCGGACCAGTTAAATTTAGCGAATGTTTTAATTACACACCGAAATACTCCAAACGCAACTACCGGTAAATCCCCTGCCGAAAATGATTTTTGGAAGGCCGCTCAGGACGACGTTAGATCAGTGGAAATTATCTACGAGAGAAAGGACTGAAAACGCGTTATGGAAACAAAAAAATTATAATGATAGGAACGTTGAGCCCCGTGAATTTATAGAGAAGCAAAAAGTTTGGGTAAAAAACGAAAGGACTGTGAGATGGCTTGAAGGAACAGTGGTTCAACGGAAAAGTGCGATATTGTATAATGTTGACTCTGAGGGTATTGTAAAAAACAAGCATGCCGACCAACTGAGGGAAGCTCATGTACAAGCTAAAGAAACACCCATGACAATGACTGAGGATTTGGACATTGCAGAACATAATGGAAATACAACTCTAGAAAAAAGAGTTTCGAAACCCCCATTACGTTATTATGATGAATTCAATTTATAGTGGGGAGAACTCTAATGTATTTAAATAAATTGATTTTTATATTCGCTTAAAGATACAATTTATAAAAATAGAAAAACATATATATATATAGCTGATAATATTATATTAAATCACTTTACAACTTTACAATAAATTAATCAAATCATTTCAGTTTATTAATTAATTTTTAATTTATACTAATTAAATATTTCATCATTAATTAAACATTGCAATGAATATAAATACAAACCTAATTATTACAAAAATATATGATTTAAATATTGTAAAAACAAAGAATTTTGGATGCAAATGGAAAATTTATAACTGTTGATGTTGAGTTCTGGTAGCAATCTGATGGAGGAGTTTTTGCCAACTCCAAAATATAAAAAATGGGGGCATTCAATTACCTCCTCCAAAAGGTTTGCCAAATTTCAGCCTAATTCTCCCCCATTTTGTTGTGATGATGCCTATCCTTTAAAACTATAAGGGTATCATATATATTGACTAAATTATATCATATTTATATAATATATCAAAGTAATTATTTTGGCATTATTAACTTAATCAAAATGGCCTTTTAATGATCAGGAATTTAAAATTTTATATAGTATTTTTATTAATTAAAATTTGTTTTCATTATTATTTTAAGGTATACTTACACTACAACAAGAGTCCTATAATTATAGAATATCTTATACAGGAATGTGCATTTGGTATCTAAGAGCTAAATTGGTGATCTTTGACCCTTCTATGGATATAAAATTACCACTAACTGAAAATATAATACAAACTTCTACATTACTCCATAACATTATTATTGATAAGGAAAGATTTATTCCTATTTTTCCTTAAAAGAATTTAACCCCTATAAATTTATTTAAGCAACAATCAATTAAATCGTCATCAAATATTGCAAAATAATAGAAATTTATTTTGCTTATATTTATACAAAAATCCTATATTATAGAAATATATTATATTTATTAATATATTTTTTATAAATTAAATTATGTCTTATTTTGTATTTTTTATATATTTTAATAAAATAAATTTTCCTTTAATATAATCTAAACTCATTATAAAATATATGTATATGTAGGAAGGAATATCATTAAGAAAATCTATAGTGTATATAATTTTATTTTAAAAAAAGCAAATAAGATATTTATATTTATGAAAATATATTTTATTTCAAATAATATAAATATATACAAAATAATTTTATTTAATTTATACATAAATATTATAGATTAAATTTGCGAAGAACATCATATATTTGAACAGTTAAAACATTTTTCTCTACATTTATCTAATTTTTCTCTCAACATAAGACATATGTCATATTCAGTTTTTTTATTTTTAAGTATCTCTATGTTTAGTATCCCTTTGTTCTAATTTTATAAGTGTTTTAAATTTATCTATTTTAAATTTTTCTATAAAGCAAATAACAAATTAACAATGTCATTATACTTTCTCTTAAGTCATTTATAATATAAACTCGGTGATTCAACAAAAGACAAAGATATTTTAATATAAATAATATATATTTTTAGATATTATTTTACACAAATTACTAAACTTAATTAATGCAGGACTTTTGAGAATAATTATATCATCTAATATATTGTCACTATCACGTTGTGCCGCTTATGACTCTTAGAATGCTACTTATGACCTTTTAATATATTGATCCACAAACTTTATTTAAGACTTTTAGAATATTAATCCCCAAACTTCATTCAATGATTAAATAAAAATGAAAATAAATTTTTATAATCGAATTTTCACAATTTTTATAACCAAAAAAAAATGAATTAATTACATATCAATATGCTTCCCTTTTATAAGCTATGATTCACAAAAAAAATAATTTAAAATAATAATAAATTAAAAATTCATTTCTTAAAAATTATCTACCCCTGAATCATGCTGAAAAATCTTAATTATAATTAAAAATAAAACAATATTAAATAAAAATAACTCAAAAATTGCAATACATAATGACTTAACCAAAAATCAACATTTACAAATCTAATTAACGCGATAAAAATTAAACTATATAAAAATAACTCA